CAGACAACCCCGTAACAATATGCGTTTTGTACTGCTGTTACACAGCACAAAACGCATAAAAACAGTAGCGACATGCATCAAGGCTACTGCTGCGAACATGCGCCTTCGCGGACAGCTAACAGCAGCTTATTTGATGAATGACAGTTTCGTTTCGAAAATTTTTTTGTTGTTATAGCTGAGTAGAATTTTTGGGTCGGGGTATTTGGCTTCAGCAGCACAGTTCAGGACAGATGCATCATGCAAAAAGTTTGAATTTTTTAACTTGCCTGGCTGCTATGTTGAAAAATTGTGCAGTCCGACATGTCAAGCGTGCCAGCGTACGTTAAAAGTGCGTTAAAGATGAAAATAAATTTTCGGGACCGTAAATGAGCAAAAAACTTGCCCACTCTAGGGCCGAAAAAGCTTTTCGTGCCCCTGAGTCGGTAAATTTCACGCCGAAGCTTCCACATGTCTGTATGTGAAACGCAAACATGCGTAGAAGCTGAATTTAAAATTTTTGAAGCACAGCATAAACGTGAAGCACCACCCTTTCCTTGAAATTTCAGTTTTCAACTTTATCTGAATCCTGAGCTCTGAAAGTTGCCAATAATTTTCTATCAAAATTTTGCATCTTTATATGTGAGACTCTGGAGTGCGCGGAAACTGAATTTGAAATCTTTGAGTCGTACACTGGCAGAGAATATCTTCTTTCCTGAGTTAGGCAATTTACCTGCCAGAAGTTTCATGTGCCCATACACAAGATGCGCCAAAATTGGTTTCATATTTCCGGGGGCTCACTTGGCCAGGCAACACACTAACAAAACTTAATCATTTAAGTCCAGATGGTTGTCAAGTTGAAAAATCTAGCCAGATGAACGCACATTCATATACACACAAACATATACATGCACAGGATGAGTTGTAACAGTATGTGTTTTCGCTTGCTGTCGCGCTCCACAGCAAAAAACGCATAAGCAATGAAATGGAGAAGATTAGAACATATTAAATTCATTATAAAATTTTAAAGAAATTTAAATTTGGCTGCTGCTGAGGGAGAAACTGTCCAAAGCTGCTCTGCATTTGCCACATGCAGCTGCCGCAGATACATCCTCGCATGCGTGATTCTTTTTTTTTTTTTTT